AATCTGCCTTAGTACAGTCTATGGTTAGGTTTGGAATAAAATCAAGTGATTTGTGTGTAGAGAGCGCAAGCACTTCACTACGTGAATCACGGTAAAAGCCGCAGCAGATATAATAAAAGGAGAAAATCCAGCAGAGATTACAATCCACTCATACTTAATAATATTCAAAGCTATATTAATGTAGCAGACCAACCTCCATCTGATTTGAACACCCACAATGTTACTGAGGATTCTTTCATGCCCGACACTAATCACCGTAGTGCTTTATCTTTACAGGCAATCATGAACAAGTGGGACAAAAACGGGCGGCCGACTTTTTGCCTTCAACAATTCAAGAAATAAAGATTTTCAAGAACACATTCCCTGGACCACTTATTGTCTCGCCATACAACTCTTGTTATCACGGCATCTGAATCTGACTGCAAGTTAGATGTATGATTAAAACAAGTACTTTGTGTTGATGGTAAAATTTTCGCAGACTATCTTTATGTCATGAGATCCTAATAATTTGAAAGCCGTCTTAAAAAAGGAGTGTTAAACAGAAAACGTATATTTCGCAAGATATAAACAGATATTATTGGGGTGCATTAATCAATAGTTTGTTCACCAAATCTAGGTAAATGTTAAATCTAAATCTGATTTACCACCAACACCTGTTTTGCAATCTTAAAACATTGTTCTGTCAAAGAACGGATGCGTCTTTACAGAAATTTGAAAAGTCCCTGTGTTCCAAAGGATGTCGGAATTTTTTCCACACCTCTCACTTTGATATTCTGAAGCCCGAAATTCATAACTCTATCGTCATGGCAATATCTTTGAGCATCGCCTTCTTCTGCAAATTTGAAACCAAATACTGCCACTAAAATTTGTGAGATTGACTGTTAAGTTACTAAGAAATTCGTGGATTAAAAAATTAAAAATTTTCTTTGTAAAGTTTCTCCACAAAACTAATTTTATGAAAATGAGGAACGGTTATAGGACCTACGTTTAGTGTTTCTTCAGCTTAGCTTCAGCTGCGTCAGCAATTTTAATTTTTTTCAAGCACAGGAAAAAAATTTGGCATTAATTTCAATTTAAAATTCATTTTGTAATCAGGACAAAATCAAGCACACAGAAAGACATGCACCTCAACCGCTGGTAAACTCAAGTCGCTAGCGTTTCCGGACTATCTATAGCAGTGCTACAAGGGTTCTCGCTTCATATCTTCCGGGATCGAACACAGAAAATCCCCCACATAATGGGTTGCGTGTGACAATTTCACTCAAGTAGCTTTTTCTCCTTATTAAGGTGATGAGTTTGGTTTTTTTACTCAGAGAAGTAGCAACTGCAGAAGAACTTCCAGTTACTAAGTGATGTCTGGGACTTATTGGTCAGCCCCTGCAAATTCACAGTCCATTTGTTATGACCGCTTGATCAGTTGGTCGGTGCCTAATGTGGGTTACCACGTCTGATCTTGCTAATCATATTTCCGATATTTTGGTTTCTTGTCAACCCAAGGAAAACTAATCTGGGAGACGATTTTTTCATCTATTTTTGTCCTAACTATATAATGATGTAATGAAACTGTCTATGGACTTAAAGGGGCATCGCAATGTGGCGGCCGAATCTATTGAACAGACGTAATTATTGCTTTCAGGTGTATTTATTCAGCTAACGCAACCCATCTTATTCTTCTTGTTAAAAATTTGTCTGGTAAACATGGTTGTCAGTGATTTAGTATTTGGTCACACCACTATTTTCCTTCAAGAACGAAATAGTCTGGCAAGCATTTAAAACATTAGGAATAAAGTCTAGGCAAACAGCAATCTAACTTCTTTGAAATAATCGAATCTGCCTTTTGCTCAATAACACTTCTGTTAATCACCTTCATACCTTTTTCCCCTTATTTTCATTTCGCATGGGCGTTCATTAATCGAATATTTTCTAATTGTTAACCTGCCTGCCACTATGATTCAAAATCAATTTAGCGTTATCTTAATGCAAAACTAATTTCTGGTACCCTTCTCTTGATAATTATTACTTCGCCACGGAATTATGTTTTAAATTTCAGTACGAAAGCACCTCCGTGATATGTTAATCGGTATTTCCGTTCTTTTATGCTTCAAGTAACTGATGGTGTTTTAAACTTACTCTGAGCTAAGCACAATCCATTTATCACATGAAAGCCGATCGGGCCATTATTTCATTTTTAGTCACGAACTTTCACTGACTCTGATAACCCTTCAAAAATCAATCATTGTTGATGAAGTGTTCTTGCGAAGGCTGTAGTATTTCCAAACGCTTTTCTGGATATACTGGATGGAAAAAGCGAGGCTCATCTTTAGCTCGACTGTTGCACATCTTCGAAGCTGAAGTTTTGCTGCAAGGCGAAAGAACCGTTTTTTACCGACGCCTTTGAGAGCGCAGGCACTCGCGTACTTCTCTGCAGCGTCCAACAGTCTAATTACCCAGGTCCGAATTACTCGCCTATGCATCACCTTATGTCTGACGGAACTAGACTTCAAACTTGAATGCGGCAGTCAAAAAACGCGGTGCGGAGTTTTTGAGAATAAAACTTAAAAGCGAATTCCTGTTTATGTCCATCAGATAGAAGGTGCAACAAATATAATTTTAAAGGTTGTAGATCCGATGTACAACAGTTACGAGACATAGATAGTCCAATTTATTCATACCGGGAATTCTAAAACTCAATCAAAAAAGGATTTAAAAGCGTTAAATGCATCCGTCTAAAATTTACATCCCATTATAGATTTGATTCACGCACAATAACCATATCAAAGCATCAAAACAGAAATTTAGCCACTAAATAACGATACTGAATCCTTCTTACACTTTGCAAAGCAGCTGATAACTTATAAGGCTGTCGAACGATAAATTTATCAAGTTGTTATATCCTATTTCCAAATGGCAGATCGTATAAGTAAAAAGCATCTCTGGACAGTCATTCAAGTGTATTTTACTAATTCAATTATTATTATAGGTGCAATTAAATGCAATTTACCGCCTAGAACAATAGAAATAAGATTTAGGTGATGAGCAAATCAGTTGTTAAACTTTCCTTCATATAATGCTATGAACGATGAATCATTTAATTTAAAGACAATTCATAATCAACAAATGACTCCATACAATGTTTTTTTTGGAATTGTTACACTGAGAATTTGCTCCCAAAATTTTGATGACATGTCTTCTATCTAATTCCTTTGCCTCTTTATTTTAATGCTCTTCAAAACTAGGGATATGGTTTAAATGCAGTATATGATTACATTTATCCGCATGAGCTACCAGCAATTAATATAATAAGGTGTTCCATAACATTTCTTAAAAATCCTAACTCTCACAAAACTATTGGAACAATATTTATTTTGATAAATATTGCAGTTAAACGGTAACACAATCTCCAGGTTCTATTAATGCCTGCTAACAAACACGAAATATTTCTTTACAGTTTTAACAAGGTAATTGCCGTCATAGGGGGGCGTATAAATAACATGCATACATCCGCGTCCTGTTTGGCAACCACAAAACCAAATTATATTTTCATGCAGATGCAACAGTTGCGTACTTAGTGCATTAGCCTCCGAGTAGACAAATCAATGACGGACACAACTCTAAATCAATCGTTCTCAACAGCGAGTACCGTGTAGGGATAAGGTGACAGTAACTGGCCACTTCTCCAACCGAAGGACTGCGACCGTTCCCAGCAAAGTTTTAGGTCACTGATCAGGTGTAAATAAAACAAATGAATGTGGTATTCTAGTAATAATTTTCTAAACCAATGCATTCGGTTCTGTTACCTACTTTCAAAAAAATGTGGCCAGTTTGGGAGAACTGTTGCGACGGTTTTGACTGCGAGTAGTTCTTCTATAGTATCTCATTAGCTCCAACAACACCTGTGGTTTTAATTTCGTCTTTAAGTTTAACACTAGAGCTTTTTTGCATTTCATTTGTCTAATACTAACTAATACAAGTCACCTAAGCCCGATTATACAACAACGTAGTTCAGGCTGGAGATAAAACTAGTAGGTCTTGCGCATCCTTGTCGAGTCTACTACTTCTGCAATTTGCCGTGTGGCAACGCTCATAAACTTCTTCACTGCAAATGAAACCATGCCTCCACAAACATATTTCTGTAACGAAAACATTT